GTCTTACAGCACTTACAATTTGTTTTGCAAATTTTAATTTAATATTCCAATCCATTATATTGAAATTGTATTTTAAGTAATCACATAGATTGCCATTATTTGCATACTCCAATACAAACATGTGATTTTTTTTGTGTTTTTCTTTAATGATGTGTAAAAAATTTAAATTAACAAAGTATAATAATTATATTGTAATCCAATGTTAATAATTAATAATGAAAAGTCAACATACTTTCTTTTGTTATGCCATAAAATCTTAATATATTACTGTGATGTTCTACTTTAAGATGTTGTTTTGCCTTTAAAAAAATCATTTGTAAATGTTTTGTTAATATATATATAATAAATTATTAAATGAAAATAAAAGATTTACCTCATTAAGAAATTGTTCAAAAGTATATTTTTGGTCAATATTAATGGATTTTAATGCAACAAGCCCTTGATGATGTTTTGAATATGCACAAGAAATTGTTCCAAATGATCCACCATCAATAATTTTAATATTTCGAAAGGAATTATAATCAAGAAATAAAATACATTCCCTTTTAAGTTGATTTTTAAACCATTTTTCCTCCTCTGAAATATGTTCTACATTCATTTTTAATAGTAATTTTAATGATTTTAATTGCAATTTTAATGATTTTAATAGTAATTTGAAGTTTTTTGTTATTTTTAGCTTTTTTTGTCTACTTTGCTCTATCATTTCAACAACTGTGTTTACATTTACAAATGTCTTTACTGAACTTTCAACTAATTCACAGCCAAGTCTCTTTGTCATATTCATTCCTTCTTCGCTCAACACCTCGTATTCTGTATGCCTGTCACATTTATTTCCTACAAGTATAAGTGGAATTTTATTAGAGCCTTTTACTCCTATTATTTGATCTTTAAACATTTCTACTTGTTCAAATGTTGGATGTGATGATATAGAATATACCAGAAGAAATCCTTTTCCATCTCTATATATTTATTAGCATTATGTGTATAAGTATTTAATTCTACAATTATCATTAGAAACTTTAAATTCCTTTCTACCTGATCCACTGATCCCAAAGTGGTATGTGTTCCCCTTTTATTTAAAAAAAGATAATTATAATTATAGATAAATGTTTTATCGTTCTTAATTTCATTATAAACAAGCAACAAAGTATTACCTTGTCCTGCAGTCTCTAGCACATCTAGTCCACAGGGTTGATTATCAATTTCTACTTGTTTTCTATATGAATCTTCAATTGTTGGGTGATAGGTCTAAAAAAGTAAAAAGTAAATATCGAAATAGAGGTAGAGGTAATGGTAAAGGTAGAGAGGTGTTTAAACAAAAAATATTATTTAAAAATATTTTACCACTTTATCCAAATAAAGATAATAATTATTTAGTTATAATGCATAGAATTCATGGTAAAAAGAAAAATTTATACGATTTTGAAAAATACATACCAACAAAAGGATTTAAATACAACTAAACCAAGTTTTAAAGATAAACAAATTGTTTTTTTTAAAAAAGGACAAATTTTGTTACCTTTTCAATATCAGTATCTCCAAGAATAACAATCTTATATGACATCTTCAGCTTAGCAAGAAAAAAACAGGCGTCATGTAAAAGGTAAATTAGTCCGTGGGAAATCAATGTTAAATAGCATAGACGCTTTATTTACATACTATAAAAATGAAGAGGACATACCTTTTCTTTAATAGTCGAGGTAGCTTTTTGGTTAATATCGATTGCTTTACGTTTATGGCCGAATTAGAACCAACTTTCGAGCTACACTCGTCGGTTAGTTGCAAAATTTTATATTCAATGTTCGCCAATTAAGTAAAATTACGAATTTTACTTAACAATTCTTGCTTCCTGCCTTCTAGAAAGCTTCGGCGATCTATGAGTACTATTTACAATGAATAATGTAACCCTTTTAGAAAACGATAAAGTTCCTTTTTATTTCAAAAACTTTGTTAATTTTCTTTTAACAGCCGTACGTTTACAATAATTACTTTAACACAAAATAACAATATGTGATAACGACTTTGGTTGATAAATTCCTGTACTTTTATATTTGGTTAATCGATAGCACCCACACCTTACGTTCACACATAAAAAAAAATTGATAAAATTAATTAAAAAAAAATTTAAAAAAGTTATTAGTTTTTTTAACAAACTTTTTCACGAAACGTAAACAAAGACACCTACACTTACAAAAACTTAAAACGAACCTCTGTTTCTTTACTTGTTAATGTTTTATTTTTTTCGAGAGTAATCGGCTAAATTGATAAAAAGATGTTATATTTATATTTTTTAAAAAAATTTATAAGTCGCACATTTGATGATTTATGCAATATTCGGTTAGTATTAACGTATTCGCCAAGGAATCGACTTTTATATTTATCGGAAATATAGTAATCAATAGAAAGAAATAATAGTCTTGAGGGCATTAAATTGGTGAATGACAAAATAATTGATAAAGAAAACTCATGCGAAGAAAATTTTAAATAGATTCTTATATCAACAAACTCTACCCGAACTGTTGTGAAAATACATTCAAAAAGGAAAATTTTTTTTTACAAACAAGACTTTTCAATGCAGAAGAAAGAAATCATCAAGAAATGTAATATATATATTGGATAAAAAATTCGTGATACAAGCTCCGTTCAACATACATTAGAAAGACGAATCAATTAGATCAATAATATTGTTGAATTACCTATACAGATCAAGTGTCATGTATGGAAGAAGATCTGTTTTTTAAAAATTTTTTTTTAGTAGTTACACATATTATACTACTCAAATTAAATGTCCGCTTTTTTAAACAATTTTTTGTATGGTAATATGTTATTAACTGAAAACGGATTAATTATTATTATTATGTAAAAATATAAAATTCGATTTATATTTACATAATCAAGACAAGTTTATTAAGTTTATTATTAAAGCAAAATAAACCCACAATATTAAAGATTACTAATGAATGTTTTTTTATATAAAAAGAAACTCTTTATGTAAAGCTATGGCTATTCAAAAATGATATCACATTTCTACTTCAAAGATGTGGTGTGTGTGTTGTTGAAGTTTACAGAAAATGGCAAAAAAAATGAGATAAATTAGATCAAAATAGAGATGATAAAATTTAATTGACGATTCGCGAAAGAATCGGTGAAATCGGCGTCGCAAAAATGGTCAGTTAATGACAATAAAATATAATATTTAAACTTTATTCTTTTTATTAAAGGTAAATCCGTAGAATATTAGTGTAACAAAAACAATGATGGTGGTGTGCATATCTCAACAAATATTTGAAAGATAGATGAAGGTGGGTTTGCACAATGCAAAGAGTAATTTAGATTCATTTGAAATAAAAAAATTTATATTGTCAATTTTTTGTAAAGCTAATTCACATCTTTTTTTAAAAACTTCACAAAATTTTTTGACTTAAAAATTTTAACGTAAAATTTTTTAATAATTATTCTAACACAAAAATGTACATAATAATTATGCAAAAAAGATTATATTAGATTGTAGCTTAAGCTCTGAAGATTTTGTATATAAAATTACATGCTTCTATATTTTCTGGGGCTTTGTCAATTAAAAATAAAAGAAATCGAAAAGATGTATATAAACATTGAATCAGACAGCTATTATTATTGTGTTCAATAGTATTCGTTTTTTAGGCATTTTGAAATTATGTTTAACAGCGTGAAATAGAATATTCATTTCATGATATATTTTCCTTGATGAATGAGCATTATCAGGCCAGTAATGTAAATAATGTAAGTCAGGTCTCAATCTTTGTGTAACACGTGTTTATAAGAATTAAGGCGCCAGAATAAAGAAAACAAAGGAATTTATTTATTATATGACAAGAAAGAAAGAAATACCAAAAGGTTTATATCTCTATTTGGAAATTTTCGTAAGGAAAAATTGTTTCACAAAATTGATTATGATCATCCTTATAATAAATAACAACGAAGAAACACTAATACTAAGCAATTTAGAGTTAATTCGATTGTTTTATCTTTCGATGGTTTTTTGAATATTTAAAGACACATATTAAAATGAAACCTTAAAAATATAAAAAGAAATTGTCGATATAAATAGATATTTATAAAAATAACGTAATAATAATAAAATAATGTGTTCTATTTTTGTTTTATTGAGAAATTTATGGTAAGGGAGCATTGAAAAAATAATATCCTCTTCAGAATGCATTTGCTCTGACTGTTCATAAAACCCAAGGATTGACCCTACCACACGTAACATTGAACATTGATGAAAGAAAGTATATTGAAATGAGTCGAACTCCCTCATTAGAAAACTACAGACCCTTGATTTTGATTATTCTTAATTAAAATTTCTAAAGATTAGAAGGCAATGAGCATTGATGGGCTACAAAACTAACAACGTTGTAAAAGAAAATATGCTTTGCATTGATTGAAAATTGAATGTAATTAATTATAAGAAAAATTTCCCTATTACATAATATTAATACTTTACACAAATTCGCAGCAACTTTCTATTTCTTTTTTTTTTTTATTGATTCAAAAAAAAAAACTTTTGATTTGAAATTGCGGAGATTGCGGAGATTGCAACATGCGGTTAATATTAAGGGCAGGGCTGATCATGTAACCAAATAACACCTATCCAGACATTTTCCGAAAGGTAAATCCTTCAATAAATCTTCCGCCTTTCGGATGGATATCTCTGATGTCGATCTCTGTGATTTTGTCTGGATAACTTACTCTATGATCGACAAACTCACCCTAATTTGCCATTTTTTTTCTGGCAAGAACTCACATTTTTTCGACAAATTTTTTTATAATAGGAAAGATTTCTGGCAAAAAATTTTTTTATTTGTAAATGGGGCATGCTTGCAACAAAACCAGAAAAAGTGAACATTTTGTATTACCAGAAATTTCAGGGTTCAAGATTTAATCATCACCAACATAACATGATTATGATTTAACAAGAAATGTCAGGAAAAATTATGTCATAGAAGGCGTAAAAGTTCTTAATGAAGCAAGGTTCCGCAGTTCATATGAAGTTATTCCACTATATGTCCCGAGGATCAAGCCAGTCAAGCAGGTAATTAATATATTTGATCCTCATATATGAAGGCAACACGTCATGTGCTGAATGATGTTTTTTATAAACTCTTGCAATAGATATTAATACAAGTTATAGTCAACAAATTGATCGATTACAAGATGAGGTACAGCAACTTCTTTTTGAATCGAAATGTTGTGTGTTTAACTATTGGTGTTCAATTATTAATATGTTAATTATTTCTAATTTAATTAAGGAATGTGATAATAATGAGATGACTGAAGATTCTTTGATTGAATTTGAGAACAAATATAAACAGATGTCGACTGATAAAAATGGAAACTGCCATCGAGTAAATTTGTTGAAGACATTATTTATAATTATGTTAGATTTTAAATACGATCTAAGCTATCTGAGATATCCATATAGTTTATTTTTCATGCTTAATAATAATAACAAATGGTTGGTTACGAAAAAAAATGTGGGGACGGCCGTCCTATTTATACGTTTCGAATTAATAAAATAGGCTGTTGTCTTGACCCGAGTGATGTCATTGTGTAATAAGTAAAAGGCAAAAGCTCACTTGTTAATGTAGGATATTGAAAAATTCAATGCATGCATCGAATTTCCTATCTCTTAAACGGTCAAAGTATTCTTTAATGGTAACGCGAAATGATTTTTGATCACGATCTTGCATTCTTATTGGCCAATTTAACGATCTGCAAAGTAAAAATAGTCAATCGACCAACTTTTAAGGAAGATTTTACGAAAACCACAAGGACAACAACCGAATTTTTATTCACATATCAAACAGCTGAATCTCAAAGATCATTTTCGCATTAGGAAGTAATACCTTCAGAAAAAGTTTTTTATAACAGAAAAAAAATTTCAGCTATCAATAGCCGAAAAACCATTCAAGGGATAGTATAGGTATACTATAATATCCCCACTAAAGATAATTTAGAAATGATGAATAAAAAATTTTGAATATTAATTATATTTTAAATAATAGGGGTGTTCAAAGTTGTTCCATTCCTGTTTCCTGTTCCTTGTTACACAGTCAAAATTAAATTTTATTGGCTGATCAGAAGGAACAGGAAACGGAACAGAGAAACAACAAATTTGTTGTTTCTACTTCCAAATTTGGAAATGATTTTTTTAAAAAAAATAAAATAAAAACAAGAAAATGAGAATATCATAAAATAGCTTCTACTAATAATGTACAACAGCCTTGTCCAGTTCAAAGAGTAGCTTCTATTAATGACATGCAACAACAACAAAGCATTTATCCAGTTCAGTAACTTCTACTAATAATAATGATGTGTAACAACAAAACTTTCATCAAATTCATCCAATTCAGTTATTTCTTGGAATAGATTTAGAAACAATGCCTCTTCAATTCTTTCACAAGTTGACATATTTTTTAAAAAAACACATGTAGTTCAGTCCCAAATATAGAAGTTATGGAAACAACTAGGAAATTTCTGCTCAAAATTGATCCTTATTTCCATTACCTAAATAAGGTATTGTATAACAAGGAACAGGAACAGGAATGGAACAACTTTGAACACCCCTAATGTTTACCCTAAAGTTTCCTACTGTTAACTATTAAGGGATGATCACCTATTTAAGAAATTTTATTTCCTGAATTAGAAATAATATTCTAAAACTGAAATTTTGCCATGTTTTGCTATAATGGTTGGTTTAGATGACTTGATCTGTACTAATATTGGGATGATTATATTACGAATATAAACCCTAATTGCAGCATATACAATATAGAAATCAATTGTCACACAAGCCTGTCTGTAACTTTTTTTGTAAATGTTTATGCAACCAACCCTCCATAAGTGAAGGCCTTGGGACCTGCATTTGTAGAACAAAGTATTTATTGACACACATGATACTAATAAAAAAGAAAAAATTTATTTATTTATTTATTTTAGATTTATCAAGAGCATTAAAATTGTTCATACAAGAAGAAAATTTTAAACTTTTTTAAGTTTTGGCATTTATTATCATTGGCTCAATATCATCATCCTTGTCATCTTCAATATCTTCAGTGGTGACAGAGCTCTTATAGTTGGAATTATTATTATTATATATAAAGGAATAGGTAACAATATAATTATATTGTTATCTATTTATGTTAGACTGTTATCTTAGAAATTTCAAATCAATCTATATTGATAAAATGTCCTACAAGTACAAGGTCATTTCATTGTATAGAATGCTCACTGATTTTCTTTTTTTCCTATTTTCATATCATAGTACTTATCCCTGAGAAATCATATTGCTTTTACCAGTGTTTAATTTCTCACTCATTACAATATAGAATGGCCACTTTGGACTATCAATATCATCTAATGATTTTTTGATGGCTTGATTTCGTTGATGTGGTATATATAATGATATTTCATTCTGACACCAACTATATTTCTATGAAATTCTCCTAAATATAAGTATAAACATGTTGAATCTTGCTAAAGCTCAAGCTTATGCTGAAAAATGCAGAGGAAGAGTTTTTATTCGGACCAGTCCCACTATCTACTTGTTTTGTGCCATAAAATCACTATGGAAAAGATAACTAGAAATCATTATGAAGAGATATGACTGATCCCCCATATGCCCTTGTTCAACAGGGGGACATACATTGGGATATATATTAGTGATGTTAGCCGGCTTGAGCCAATCAAATTCCATTCTCAAAAATAATAAAAAATATTCATTCATTTGTAATGCCGCCAAAAA